TGGCAGGAGAGCAGGGGCGGGGCGGTGCAGGGGCAGGGAGTAGAGGGCAGGGCAGGGGCAGGGGCAGGGAGCCGCCCAAACTCCCGGGAAAAGCGAAGACCCACACAGAGGCAAGGAGCTGCCAACCCAGACCCCACCCTGGGGGAGGAGTGCGCCCTGAGTGTGGGATCCAGGCGGGGTGCTGGCCTCTGGGGAGAGGAGGGGGCAGACCTCAAGGTCAGGCTGGTCTGCACTCGGGGTCCCTGCAGGCAGGGCCCTGGGTACATTGGTCCTGCAAGCCTGCGATGCCCACAGCAGAACCACCATCCTCAACGCCTGCCTTTCCCTTTGCTGTTGTGGAGAAGAGCATGTTCCCAGCAGGCCCCCCGAGGCAGCTGCAGTGAGGGGGGCCTCAGAAGCACCCCTGCAGTGCGGCCATTAGTTCCAGCATCTTCCAGGCAGTAGGCAGGCGACCACGTGTCTGGCTGGTTCACTGCAACCTTGGGCACATCCTTGCACCTCCCTGTGCCTCCCCTCCCAGGTTGGGAAGATGGGGCCCTGGAAGGAAGCCCGTCCTGGGGGGGCCGTCCTGGGGGAGCCTGTCCTGAGGGGAGCCGTCCTGGGGGGCCCATCCTGGGGGAGTCCTCCTGGGGAACCTGTCATGGGGGAGCCTGTCCTGGGAGAGCCATTCTGGGGGGCCCATCCTAGGGGGCCGTCCTGGGGATCCCTCCTCGGGGGGCCTGTCATGGGGAAGCTTGTCATGGGGAGCCTGTCCTGGGGGAGCCTGTCATGGGGAGCCCGTCCTGAGGGGCCGTCCCGGGGATTCCTCCTGGGGGGCCCATCCTGGGGAGCCTGTCATGGGGGAGCCATCCTGGGGGCCCATCCTGGGGGAGCCCTCTTGGGGGGGCCTGTCATGGGGAAGCTTGTCATAAAGGAGAGAGACAGAGATATGTGGAGACAGAGACAACAGGGACCCAGAGACTGCCCCCAAAAGGCCAAAGGGAAGAGGAGAGGAGGGGGAGGAGGAGCCTAGGTGGGAGCAGAATGTGGGGTGAGTCAGGGGCGGGGCTTCGGGACAGGAGAGCTCAGCTGGATGTGGTCCCCAGGCCCTCAAGGGACCCGGAGCTCTGAGCTCAGGGGAGGCAGTCCCCTTGGAGGGAGCTCAGCTGTGCTCGGCTGCATCCAGGACCAGGGGCTCAGAAGCCACTTCCTCCTTTAAATGGGTGCTGGAGCTCCACGTGACAAGTCCCCCAGGCCTCGTCCCTTCAGATTTTTTTTTTTAAGATTTTATTTATTTATTCATGAGAGACACAGAGAGAGGCAGAGACACAGGCAGAGGGAGAAGCAGGCTCCCTGCAGGGAGCCTGATTCGAGACTCGATCCCGGGACCCCAGGGTCACACCCCCGGCCCAAGGCAGGCACTCCACCTCTGAGCCCCCCAGAGGCCCCTTCCCTTCAGATTCTGAGGGACACCCGCGGTTCTACACGCTCTCCGTAGCCGGTTGAAGGGGACTTTAAAATAATGTTTGGTCCCACTGATGTCCTCAAGCCTTTTCATCTACACCCATTAAATCAACATATTCTGCACGGAATCTACTTTGTCAAACTTCGTGATATTTCCAAGTACTTAAAAATGTTTATAAATTCAATAAATTAGGATAAAAAAAATATGGTGATTCTTAAGCTCTTTCCAATGTTCCAACACCGTACATAAAACTTTTACGTGATTTCTACCTAATGTCACAAACCCACACCAGCGGCCCAGTTAAACACTTCACATCGGCATCACGAGCTTCTCCATTACTTCTATCAGCCAAATTCTCTCCAGTGTGAAAAAGCTCAAAATATGAAACACATACAAATTCTTAACAAAAATGGTAATATTTTGAGTTTGATTTTGTTAAATGTCTATGTTAATCCTAAAGCCCCTGGAGTTAGTCTCTTACAGGTTAGGAAGAGTCGTGTCACCTGTGACGTTATATCACCTGGGAACAATCCTCGAGACCACCCTCACTGGTCATGCCAGCTGCAGTCTGGGGTCCCCGAGACCCGTGGGGCTTGCTGATTCTCTAGAAGGGCCCCCGGAGCTCACGGAGCCGTCATGCTCAGGGTGACGGTGTACCGCAGGGAGAGGACCCAGACCCCCAGCACCCAGGAGAAGGGCGCCCCAGGCAGGGCCCCGCAGGGTCCAGACCACCCTCTCCCCGCGGAGTCGTGGGCAGCGTGGGCTCCCCTGGCTGCGCGGTGGCAGTGCGTACCAGTGTGGCCGCCCGGGGAGTCCCCAGCCCCGGTGTCCCAGGTCTTCGTGGGGCTTCCCTCGCGTGGACCTGGTCGGCTGCCTGCGTGGCTGACCTCAGCATCCAGCTCCTCGGGAGGCCGAGCCAATGCCGTGCGGCCCAGAGCCCCAGGGAAGCAAGGACACCGGACTCAGGGCGTCCACGGGCTCGGCGGCAACCCCCCCGCAGCCAAGGGCGGAGGCCGGGCCTCCCTGGGGCAGGGTGAAGTTCACATCCCTCCAAACAATTTTCCACGTGGCCTTCTGCCCTCGGGCTGTCCACGGAAGCCCTCCCTGCCTCCGTCCTGCTCACCGCAGCACGTGGAGCTGTGATCGCGGTCCCTGTGCAGGTGCCCGTGGGAGCGTGGGGCCTCCTCCCTGGGCCTCTGGGGCCCAAGACTGGGGTATGCCCTTCCTGGCCCTTCGCCGTCCCTCTGGCCTCAGCGGACACAGCCAGGGGCTTTGGAAGGTCTGGATAAACACGGGCCCGGCACCCGCCACACATGTATGTTTGTGGGCCTCTTTGTCACACAGCTCAGCCCCGCGCTGATTCGCGCACCTTCCAAGCTGGGTTCTGGGCCGGCCCTTGCGGGGTGCTGCAGTCTCCCCAGCACCAGGCTGAGGGCCCACCCCCGAGAGCACATTCGTGGGACAAGCAAGGCCTCCGTCTCAGCCGAGGCCCCAGGGGACGACCGGAGTAGCAGCCCGAGCGCCCACCCAGCCTGGCACCCTGCCCGCGGACCCTGGGCCAGCTCTCGGGCATACGTGGTTTTATAGAAGTGGCAGCCCTGGGGCTTGAGCCTCATCCTTGGCAGCCCCGCACCCAACTGGGTCTGCAGGGTGAGCCCCTCGGGCTTCCGGACACCCCGTCTCCAGTCCAGCTTCCAAGGGAGGCAAGCAGAGCCCCTCCCTGTGCCTCAGTTTCCCCATGCACTAGGCAAGAGAGGAGGCGGGGGGGTGTTCCGCGATGCGCATGGGCGGGATGGGGAGGGGTGAGGCGGCCTGGGGGAGGGGGCGCATCCTGTCCCAGGGCTTGGCTGGGTCTGGGCCCCTCCACCCCGCCCCACCCCGCTCCGCCCCCGCCATCCTCTAGGACACAGAGGCGGCCTCTCCAATTACTCCAAGTGCTCCGTTAGCCTGTCTCACCATCATCCAATTATAGGGAGTAACTTTTTTATTATTAAAAAGAAAAAGCACCTACAGCTTCCAGCCTTTGATGCGAGCTGTAGTATTTCTCCCGGAGGAATCACTGCCTCTCAGGCATCGCCACGGGGCCCCAGCCTCCAGTTCCTGTCAACTTCCTTTCCCCATTCTTTCCGAGCTTCCATTATTGAAAAGACATAAAAGGGAAGAAGAATAGGGAAGAGGCTCCTTTTCACCATGGAGCCCCTGGCTCAGGGCCGCCAGCCCCCTCCACGCGGAGGGTGACGATATTTCCTCGTGGCAGGTGTTTCTTTCTGCTCCGGCTCCCTTCCTGCCCCCGCAGGCCTCCTCCTGCGCCCCGCAGCCCCCGCCCTCCGCCGTGACCCTGCAGCGAGGCTCCAGCAGGAGGAGCAGCCCCCCCCCCAGCCTGGGCTGGACTCGCACTGCCTGCACCTGGCCTCGCCACCTGGCCCCGCACCCCATGGAGCAGGGCAGCCCCTCTGGAGGGGAGGACCTGCGCTGGGTAGGTGACGAGCATTGCCCGTGACTGCGGCACTTGTATTGGTCAGTTGGACACGTCGGCCTCGCTAGGGGACCGTCCCCAGGCATTCAGTCGAACCCTAATGTAGACATTGCTTGGAAGGCCTCTGGCAGGTGTCACTGAAGCCCATAGTCAGTGGACTTTAAGTAAGGAAGATCCCCGAGGGCATCTGGGTGGGCCTGGCTTAATCAGCCGACGGGCCTAACTGCGGAGCTGAGCCGTCCTCGACCGGGAAGAAGAGATCCCACAGCAGCTCCGCCTGACCCCGGGCTTCCCCACCAGGGGAACTGCCCCGCCACTGAGCAAGCAAGCTCCTTGTGACCAACGGCTCACTGTCCGTCTCCACTGGGCCTGCTTCTCCTGGAACACTGGCTGGTCCAGGGGTTCGAGCCCCCTCCAGGCTAGCTCTCCCCTCTCCCGGCCCTTGCAGCCCTATGGAAGCAGATGAGGCCGACCACCCACCGGGCACAAGATGGCCCTCGTCTCTCGGTCCTTGGACCCACACGTGGATTTATACTAGTGACGGTTTGCTCATTTGACAGATGAGGAAACAGGCTTGGGAAGAACGAGCTTATGCCCCAGGACCCGTCAGGGTCACCTCCCAGCGGGGATCTTGCCTTGCCTGGGTCTCCAGGGCTCGAGGCCAGAGAAGACCCCCAGGCAGAAGCCCTCGGAGCTCTCAGGACACCCTTGTGCCCCAGCAGGCGGCGGGCGGGTCTCTCCCAGTGCCGCCTGGCTCAGGCCAGGAGGCCACGGGGCACTGGCTTCCATGAGGGGAGCCCCGAAGGCCCTTCTACCCCGAGGATCCAGGACCCCAACCAACTGGCCTGTGGGGTGATGGGGCTGTGCTCCCCAGGCCCCCAAGACCCTGCAGTCTGTACTCACAGGGCTTCCAGGGGCCCACCACCCCGAGCTGCCTCCCTCTGCAGCTCCGTGCCAGTCACCCCATGCCAGCAGACAGACAGCAGCACACGCAGAGAAGTTTCATTGTTTTATTAACAAAATCTTACAAAAGAGTCTATCTTCAGGTAAGGTGGCAGGGGTACACATGGCCTGGCCTGACCCGCTGGGGACGGGGTGGGGGGGACCGGCCACCGTCTTGAGGACCCCGGGGCCTCCCTGCAGCCTATGCCAGCCTGTGAGTATGGGTTATGGCTTATGTGCAAAAATAAAATCTTGGGGGGAGGCTGGCAGGGGTGCAGGATGGAGGGGTTGACAGTCACCCGGAATCTGGGAACCCCCTCTGGGCAGGCAGAAACGAGAACCCCCAGCCAGGGCCTGCTCGGGCCGCAGACACGAGTGGCCGGCCAGCACCGGGGTGTGGGTGCCGGGAGGGTTGGGGGTCCGTGCCCGGGGCTCAGTGGGGCCTGGCAGAGAGCCTGCTAAGCCCCAGGTGCCAGGCTCCTGCGATCTCCTGGGGCGGGGGGGCCTGGGGCTGCGGGCGGGGCCGGGGCTGTGGCCTCAGCCTCAGAGTTCCTGGAAAGCTCTGGCAGGAGGGGGCGGCCACCATTCGGTGGCAGGGGTCCTGGGCTGGAGCAAGACGGGGCCCAAGGGGCAGACCCCGACGCCAGCCGCAGGGGCCCTGGGGGCAGGTGGGCGGGCTGGTGGCCAGCGGGGCAGGCCTTGTGGCAGCCCCGGCCCTCACGCTGGCCCGTCTTAGTCAGCAGCCCGCTGCCAGGCCCACCCTCTCGCCGACCTCAACGTCCCCTCGTCTCCTCGGTGCGGGCAGCTCGCAGGAGGAGGGGGGCAGCTCCAGGCACAGCAGCAAAGGCTCTGTGGGAGCCTGAGACCTGAGGGAAAGACGTGAGGAGGTCACGGGGGTCAGGGCCAGGCCGGAGGGGCCGCACAGGAAGGCTGTGGGGCGGGCGTGATGGGCTGTGGCCCCCGTGATGGGCCGCCTCTTGGCTTGCCTGGGATGAGTGCTGTGTGCATGGGGGGGGGGGGGGCTGGGATCCTGGGGGAGCAGGGGAGCCAGCTGAGGGTCAGGGTCTCCGTGGAGAGACAGCCACGTACCTGTCGTCACCCTCCTGGCTCCTCAGCTGAGTTTGAGGACTGGGGCCCTGTGGGACCCTCCGCCTGCCGGGGGTGAGTCATCGCACCCAGCCCATCCTTTTCCAGGCTGGTTTGAATCACTGGTGCTGAGGAGAGAGAGCACACGGGGTCATGTGAGAGCCGCACCCAGCCCAGCCCATCTCCCTGAAACCTGGGGTCTTGCTCCCCCCACCACTCCCCATCCCTGCAGCCCCCCCATCCCTGCAGCTAACCTGCTGGGGATGCCTCTGGGCCTGGGGGGAGCTCACCTGGAGAGCGGACCTGGCCGGGGGCCCTCCCTGCCCCGCAGTGCCCCCTGGCGGCCGTTCCCCGGGGCAGAGCCTCACCTGAGGGGCCAGAGGGCACCAGGACGCCAGGTCTGCGGAGGCTGCGGTGCTGCTGGGCTGCGTCTGCGGCTCGGGCTCTGAGGCTGCGGCTCCACGGAGGCTGCGGCTCGGGGCCAGCAGGAGGGAGCCGCGCTGCCTAAGGCTGGCCAGATGCCCTGGGCGGCGGTGATAGAGCGCCAGCCGGCGGCAGCAACTGCCAGGAGGAGGCGGCGCCCCGAAGCCAAGGTTCCCGTGGTGCCGTCTCAGCTTCTGCTCTGGGGTGTCCCCTGGGCGTGCTGCTCACTGGCCTGCACCATCTGGACACTTGATTCCTGAGTGCCCAGAGGGCCCGGGCGTTAAACAGAATAACGAAGCTGGGAGGGCCAGTCGTGGCCTGAGGGTGTGCGGGGTGGGGTCAGAGGCCAGGAGAGACAGACAGAGGGAGGGGGCCAGGGGCCCGCGGCCCTTCGGCGTTTGGGGGATTGTGCCCACAGCTGGATGACATGTGTCTGTGTGAGGCTGGGAAGCTGAGGTGGGGGGCCCAGCCAGATGAGGATGAAGGGCTCCCCCGTGCAGGAGTCAGCCCAGCTTCAAAGTCCTGGTCGGCAAAGGCCACAGGTGGGGTGTGGTGGGCAGCTGGGGCCCGGGCTGGCCTCTATTCGGGCTGGGTCCGGTCACTGGCTACAGACTCGTTGGTGAGGGCTGGTGTGAGGGTCTCGGCCTCGTCCTCGGCGGGGAGGCGGGGACCCGCGGGCTCGGCCACCTGCTCCAGGCCGTCCTGCACTTCCATGCCCCTCTGGATGAGCTGCTCCAGGGTCTTGGGCAGCGGGTGGCGCAGGAAGCGCTTGAGTTTGGGCTGCAGGGTGCCCACCACGTACTGGATGATCTCCTCCTCCTCGGCGTCCACGTAGAGCGTCTGGTACAGGTCCCGCTTGCGCCACAGGAACTGGTCCAGCGGCTCCCCCTGCTTCTGCGGCAGGTCCAGCTCGCGCTGGATGGCCTCCCGGGACAGCGTGCCCTCGCTGTACTGCAGGAACTCTTTCTTGAACTCCACCCAGTTCTTCACGGAGCCCTGCTTGAACTCCCACCACTTCTTGGCCGGCCCGTTCATGTGGTTCTGGATCTGTGACAGCCAGTACTCCTCGGAGCCGCCCACCTGTCGCAGGTACTCCTCCAGGTGGCTGAGGAACTCCCTGGGATCCTCGAAGATCTGCGTGTCCACACCGGGGCTGGGCTGCCCGTCCTCACCCGGCCCCCAGGGCGGGTACTGCTGGGCCTCGCTGGGCTCCTGGCCGGGCAGCTCCCCGGCGGCGGGCGGCGGGGTGATGGCGTAGGGGCTGACCGTGTAGTCGTAGCCGTCGGCCTCCTGGCAGTAGCCCTCGGGCCCCCCGACGCCCACCGAGACGGTGTGGCGGGCCGGCTCGTTGCCCACGGGGTACTTGCCGCCCATGGACTCCAGGCGGTCGGCCCACCTCTCCAGCCGGTAGAAGACCTCCCGCCACACGTGCATCTCCCGCTTGACCCAGCGCTCCAGGTTGGCGATGGTCTCCTGGCAGCGGCACAGGCAGGCCTTGATGGACTTCCTCCAGCGCTGCGAGTCGCCGCTGGGCACGTAGCCGTCCAGGTTGCTCTCCAGCTTCCCCACCGACCTGTGCAACCCCTTCAGCTCCCGCTCCACCTGCTTGGACACCTCGGTCAGCAGGTGCCGGTGGGTCCTGCGCACGTGCTCCAGCATCTCGGCCCGGCACTTACCGATCTGCAGGATCACGTTGGGCTTGGCCGCCGGCCCGCCCCGCGGCCCGGGGTAGGCGTGGAGGCCGCCGCTCGTCATGTGGTCCAGCTCCATCTGTGCGCAGGTGGCCAGGCGCTCGGACGGGCGGGAAACGGCTGCGAAGGGCTCCCGGGCGGGCTGCGGTGGAGCCGGGGCGGTCCCTTCGGTGCCCGCGGCGCTGCGGCAGCGGAAGGGCACGGAGGAGCGCGGAGGAGCGCGGAGGAGCGGGGAGCGGGGAGCGGGGAGCAGCGCGGAGGAGCGCGGAGGAGCGCGGAGGAGCGCGGAGGAGCGCGGAGGAGCGGAGCCGCCCGCAGGAGCCGAGAGCCGCGGCGCCGAGCTCTGCGCCCTGCCGCGGCCGCCGGCTCTTTATGCGGCAGCGCGGCCGTGGGCGGCCCCTCGCCGAGCCCCCACTCCCATTGGCCCCGGCCCGGCTCCCCGCCCCGCGCGCCCCGCCCCCCGCGCCCGCCCGCGCCCGGCGCCCGGGGAGGACCCACCCCCTGCACGCGCCGGCGGCCGGGGTGACTAATCGCCTGCGGGCTCCCGCGCCCCCTCCCCGGCGCGCTCGGCCTGCGGGGCGAGGGACGGTGCCGGGACCCAGCGACCCCCCAAAGCGCGGGGCGGGCGGCGGGGCGCAGGGGCGGGCCCGGGGCGCGCAGGGAGGTCGGGAGCGAGCCCCTCCCGCAGGGCCTGCGCGCTCCGCGGCCGCCGTCCTCGCTGCCGGCCGGGGGGGCCTCGACCCCGCCCTCCTGGGGCCCTCGCTGCCCCCGCGCCCGCCCGGGGTGGCGTGGCCGGGCGTTCAGCCACGGAGGAGCCCCGGCGACCGCCGACGGCCCTGCAGACCCCTCCCCGGAGCTGAAGGCTTCAAGGAGCCTCCCCGTGCCCGGAGGGTGCAAGCACGCCCAGGTGTCAGGTGTGAGTTCCCAGGTGTGGCCTCGGGCTCCTGCCCACCCCTGCCTGGGGGCTCTCGGGTCGGGCGCCGCGCCGCTCCCCCCTCCTGGGTGTGAGGGACGGACTCCCCGCCCGGCAGGGGTGCGGATGTGTGACACCAGTGTGGCGATGGCTGGACAGGACTGCCCGGTGCCCCCCCCCACGTCTTTGGTGAGACCCAAGATTTCTCCATGTGATGCCTCCAGGGAAAGGTGGCAGTGGAGGGGGGGCATGGGGAGGAGATGAGGGGTACTGATCCCTGAACCTCGCAGGTCACAGAGGGAACCAAGAAGCTCCAAGACTTCTGAGAGGATGCAAGAGAGTTGGGGGGAGGAGGGGAGGGAGGAGGAGGAAGGAAGGAGAAGGAGGAGGAGGGGAAGGAGGGCGGAGGGGGAAGGAAGGAGGAGGGGAAGGAGGGAGAAGGAGGAGGGGAGGGAGGAGGAGGGGGAGGGGGAAGGAAGGAGAAGGAGGAGGCGGTGGCGGATGGAAGGGGTGCTGGCAGCCTTATGCAGTCAGGAGAGGCAGAGAAAAGCAAAATGCCATATAAGGAATGGGGCTCCGGAAGCTGAGATTCCCTCGGGAGGGAGGCCCCTTCTGCCTCCCTGGCAACAGTGGTGGGGGAGGGACATCCTTTCTGGGTTACCCCAGGATGGATGGTTCTGGGCCCCGGGTCCTCAGATGTTATGGGGGCACAGGTGACCAAAGCCCTGGGCACACAGACCCGCAACCATGAGCCAAGATGCCCTAGCCCCTCCTGTCAGCTTCCCACCCCCTCTGTCAGCCACACAGGGCACACTCATGGGCTCCTTTCCTACCCCCACCCCCAGGTACACTCATGGGCTCCTCTCCTACTCCCACCCCCAGGCACACTCATTCCCCCCCACCCAGCCATCCCCCAGGCACACTCATACCCCCACCTGTCCCCCATCCGTGTCCAGCCCCACTCTGTCTGATTCACACAGTCTGGAATCCCCACTCCCAGCTCCTCCACCAGGCCCTGCTCCCTGCTCCCCTAGAAGCCCTCCTCCCCACCCCAGAACCAATCTGTCTCTTTCCCCCACTCTAAGCTTCCACCCCTACTTGGGGGGAAATGTCTTTCTGGCAAAAACTTGCCCCAAATCGCTCTCCTGGCATTTCTAATTAAAGGCGAGTGGGTGGGCAGAAAGGGAGGCGGAGGGGCAGCACGGAGTAGGGAGGGGAGGGGGAGCCAGGCAGAGAAGCTGCAAGAACAGGAATCCCGGAGCTGCCCAGCCCAGGCTGCGTTCCTGAGAGCGGGAGGAGGCAGCGGGCACAAGACCTGCTTGTGCCCGGTGTGAGGAGTGTGAGTCTGTGTGGTGGGGAGCTTGGGGCCGCGTGTAGCTCTGAGTCTGTGTCCACGTACGGGGTGAGCTCGGGCTTGTGTCAGGGCCATTGTCAAGGAGGACCCCTCATAAGCCTGCTGTGCAGGGATCACACACACGTGCCTCTGTGTGCGCGTGTGTGCTGGGAGGGCCAGAGAGCCAGCACTTGAGTGACCAGCGGCTTGCAAAGACCACGTGATCCCCAAGGGTGACCCTCAGGCCCGGTCCAGATCAGCTGGGGGCCCGGGCACACCCCTCCGGGTCTCAGGCCCACAGTGACCTCCAGCCCCCACTCTGCCTGGCCAGCCAGCGGCAGCCTGCAGGGCTTCCTGGAGGAGGGAGCCCAGGCGGGACCCAGAGGGTCAGGAGGGTTTGACCAGACCCTGAGAAGCAGTGAAGCGCTAGAGGGGCTGGGGCCGCGTGAGCATCCCCTTTGTGGGGGGACCCGGCTGGGGGACAGGATCTCAGACCCGAACCCCTTGGGACCCCCTCCCCCGTGGCCAGACCAGCCTGATGTGGGCATGAGGGAGCAGGGGCCAGCGGGAGGGGGTGCTGGTGGGTCACGCGGAGACCTGGCAGGACCAGCACGGAGGCTGCGCAGTGCTGGCCGTCACAGGTGACAGGCGACAGCCTCTGCTCGGGAACACTTAATCGCTGCCCAATTATCGCCCCAGAAGCCCTCGACAAACGCCCGCACTGGAGCCTTGGGCTCCATTCTTCTGCTGCCTCCGGAGAAGAGGTCAGGCGGGCTCCCCGCGGCCCCGGAGGGGGGGTTCTGGCCTGCCCTCTGCTGTGCCCCATCCCCACAAGCAGGGGTGAAGGTGCAGAGTGCCGGCCTCCGGGCCCTCCCCCGCCTCACCCAGAGCAGGGCCGCTCAGGGCTGCAGGGGCGGGGGAAGGGGGGGCTGAGGGCTGCAGGGGCGGGGGAAGGGGGGGCTATGCAGCAGGGGGAGCCTGGGGGTTTCTCCCCGCTTAGAGCCCAGCTGCTCAGCTGCTCCTAGGGCCTGCCTTGGGAGGAGGGGGCTCTGGGCAGGAAGGGCAGGCCAGAGTGACCACGCGCGGTGGGGGGTGTGTGTGGCCAACGCTAGGATCCAGGCAGCAACACCCCGCGCCCCACCCCGTTCTATCCCCTCCGGGGTGCCGGGCTCCCAGACTCCAGGAGCTGATCTGTGATGCTCAGAGGCCTGTTTGGAGATGAGGCCTCCCTCCCCAATCCATGCCCCCCACCGCACCCTAAACAGACCCTGGGCCTGCGCAGGGCCTGCCTTCCCCTGGCCGCTCCGTGACCCCGGCAGCTTCGTACCTGCCCCTGGGGACCCCATGGTGCAGGCTCCCTGACCCCACTGCCTGGCCCCCAGGTGTGCTGCGGGTAATGCTCACCCGGGCAGGTCAGGCTGCCTGTGCCCGGTGGACTTGCAGGCCTTGGGCTTTCCAGACTTCCCCTGTTGGCACAGGGCTTCCCTCGCAGCTAACCGCCCGGGAAATCTCCCGGGGTTGTCACCCGTAACACCACTTAGCACCCAGGGCGTGATCACAGGCTCCTCCAGGGGGTGCAGGGCTCCATGGCCACCGCAGACACGGGGACTCGCCTGGCCCTTCCTGCCCAGCCTCGGCCCTCGCTCACGGCCTCCACCCTGTGGGGCCCCACGCCACTGCCACCACCACCGCTGGAGCTGGGAGCCGAGGGCAAGGCCACCCCGATCCCCGGTGCTCCCCCAGGCCTAGTCCCCTCCCCAGGGCTCTGCTTTGCCACTTGCTGGCTCTGTCTTCAGAGGCAGCAGTGGGGCCGGGGTGGCTGCCCAGGGCGGCTGCACAGGCCCCAGTGATGCGGGAGGAGCAGCTGGCACAGGGCCTGGGATCTGAGCCCTGGCAGCTGGAGGACCCCTGGGCCCTCCGGGTGGCCCTGCCCCAGCCCGCCCCCCCACCGCAGGGCCTCCCTGCTGCCCACCCTCCTCGGGGCCTCCTGCGGGGGGAGCTGGGCCACAGGAAGCCTGGGGAGCCAGGGCCAGGCTCGGGATACAGTGGGTTAGAGGTGACATTGGGCCCAAGGGCAAAGAGGAAGAAGGGACAAGTGGGGTGGGGAGGGGGGCAGAGAGCTGGAGACGCCAGGAGATTGGGAGAGACAAGGGCACCCGTTCATGTCTCAAGGGGATAGCCTCGCCCTGTTTTTACAGAGGTTCCAAGAGGTGGGGGGCCCCGCCCTGGGGCCTTTCAGCCGGCAAGTGAGAGGGAGGGGTCCCTGGGCCACACCTGCCTGCTGCACCTGCCAGAGACCCCTGGGCGGCCAGGGCAGAAGGAGGCAGGGGCGGCAGGAGCCCCGTCAGCACCAGGCGCACATTGTTGAGACACCTGAGATGGGGGGCTGAGCGCTGGCGTGGGGGGCCCCTTGGGAGGCAGAGGTGCTGGGAGGGGGGCTCCGAGTGAGCACCCAGAGCTGAGGCGATATCTTCCCAGTCCTTCCCCCCACCCTGAACTTCCTCTGTCTCAGGCTTGGCACAGGGAGTGCGCTGCGTCCTGTCCCTGGAACAGGCAGCCTGTTCATTCTGGGCCCCCACACACCAGACCCTCTCCCCGCTCCCTCCTTCCTGCCTCCTGCCTCAGCGCCTCCCTCCCCACCCGGCCTCCAAGGAAAGTTTTGTATTTTTCCGAGGAGGCTGTCACAGAGGTGCCGGAGCCGGCTGCTCCTGGGCACTGCAGGCGGCCCCGCTGAGCAGGAAGGCCGGGCCCCGGGCCCCAGAGGCCAGCCTCGCCACCACCCTCAGCCAGTACAGAAGGGGGAAACTGAGACCCGGGCGGGGCGAGCCAGGCACCCCTCGCATGCAGGCTGTGTGTGCGGAGACCTGCAGGCCCCTGCTGCACCTGGGAGCTCAGTCCACGCCCCGTGCAACCGCGCCTGGGCCCCTCGGCCCTGCCCCTTCTGGGCATCCACATCCCTCCCTGGAAAGACTCCTGGTCCCGCTCAGCCGGGAGGTGGTTGGTCGGTCAGTCAGGTGAGAACAGTTCCCGAGCCCGACATGGC